GGAAGACACAGGGGCTAGCCACCCAGCCAGCCACAGAGTAAGAAGAATGATTATAGAATAAAGAAAAACATAAAAGGCTCATAGGCAAAATGTAGTTAAAGAGAAATGGGATAATTTAAGTTAGAAAAGCAGGCTCTAAAAACGCCAAGCTAAGGTGAGCATTCAAAAGTAAGACTAAGTCTCTGTGTATTTGCTTGGGAGTTGGGTGGCAGGCCCCCAAAGAGTTTTAAAAAACAAAAACAAAACAACTACAAGTTTTCAGATCAAGAAGTGTAAAATCCCAGGAAGACTCCAAACCTCAAAAGAGATTTTAAAAAGTCTCAATGCCAATTTTAATTTTAACTTGAAACTTTTAGAGATGTTGAGAAGTCCTAAGCAATGTCAGAGTTTCACAGCTTGGAGTTCTAAAACTTGAAAGCACAGTTTAAAGAGTAAGTGCTTTCCTAGCACTGTTTGGGGAAATAAAAAAGCGTATCCAGAAATCCCTGTGAAGCCCCACTCCCACACTCCCAGCAGTCAGGCCCCTCCTCCCCATTAGTCCGAGTGTACCCCTGCCTGCTCTTCCACAGGGTAACCCCACTCTCCACTGCCGCCCTGCAACCTCCCCACAGTTCTCCCAAGATTTCAACAAGAGATTTCAGAGCTTTCCTAAACACCATCATTTTCTTTCCTCTACAACAAGAAGTCACCTTGACACTGCTGTCTGGAAGCCCACAGAGGTGAAAGGAGCATTAGTTTTCAGAACGTGATCCAGTCAGTCCTTGACCCCACCCCCCACACTCCCTAGACTTGGAAGAAAAGGGGCTGTAGGTAGGATCCAATGAAGGAGGAATCCCAAATCCAGCTCACAGGACTTTCTATAGTGTTCCTTTCTAGAGACTTACACTGGACACAGGAAGGAATTGAACCAAGTGATGGTGTTCTGATTTTTCTACCTTCCAACTACATAGGAGCCCTAGCAGACCTCTGGTCTAGGCAGGAGAAATGGACCGTGGGCACTGGCAAAAGAGGATGGCACCTAAAGGAGATACCAAATCTGCCACACAGTAAGTCCAAAACCCAAGACTTCGCACTCAGGTGCACAAGCTGCTTTTCTCTATCCACCACAAGGAGACTGTGACACTAAGAAAACATATTCACAGGTAAGCTATTTGAAAATCTCAGAAATACAAGATAACAAACAACTAATGTCCCCTCAAACCCAAGAAAAATGAGTGTAAGGAGACTCAGGGTCACAAAGCAGAAGAATAAACACCCAGATAAACCCACTTAATGGAGTGCTTATAGACAAGTGAAAACACAGCATAGCTGAGTAACACAGAACCAGTGACAAGAAACAAAACCAGTCTCACACCAGATACCCAGCTGGGCACTTTAGAAGCAAAAGGATGGCAGAAAACATCTAAAAGTTAGGAGGAAAATTAATTAGAATGTGTTTCTATAACCAGCAAAAGTATCATTGTGAGTACATTTTTAGGTAAGACAAAGATATAGACCATTCACAAATTCTCCATGAAAGGATTATGAAAAGAATAGAAACAAAAAAATAAATATCCAAGTGAAGGACAGGGAAGACAAGACATTTGTAAAAATAAGTAAAAAGTAACATTAAACAAACAGAAGCAACTCAAAATTCCACTACTAAAGTTTCTTAACTGCAGGAGAGGAGAAATAATATAGACAACGAGGAACTCTGGCGGTGAGAGCAAAAGCCAGTGAAAAGGAAACAAAAAAACAACTGGGAAAAGAAGCCCGGGTAATCTAACAAAACGGGGAAAGATGACACAAAAGAGAACAACAACAAAGAATCAAGTCAATTCAAATATTCCAGCAATAACACAGACTAAATTCACCTCCTTAAAACACTCACATAATATATGCAAAAGGAAAAGCTATACATTACTGAAAGGATATAAACCTAAACAATAATAACTAAAGTACAGATGAATAAGCAGAACTGAGGTATAGCTGAGTAACCATACACACAAGTTGTTTTTATAACAGCAAAGGTGTACCTCATCATGGGAAATAGACTTATAACTCAAACTTCACACAGCTTAAAAGCAGCATGCACAAAGCGAAAGCTAATCCTAACAATTCACAGAGTGGGAAATGCCATCATTCCTTTGGGAAAGACAGAGGCTACAGAGGAACAGATCACACAATGGACACCTTCATGTATAAAACTCTTCATGCACCCAAAACACAAACACTTTAATCACACAGGGAACTCTCAAGTAACCACTGTAAAAATTACTATGATCAAGCCAATGAGAAAAAAAATCCAAAAATATTCCCCAAAGCAAAACCCAATTGGGTATATTCATTAACTTCAATGAACTAAAATTAGATATTAAAAACCAATAAGCTAAAAGGCAAATTTTATGCCCTTGAATTAAAAAAAGAACTCATTCTAAATGGCTTTAATGCACAACAGGAAATCAAACAGTGGAACAATATCTCCACAATGAGATGCTTGGGAGGGCAGAGACTGCAGCAGAGGGCAGCCCCAGTTTAATGCGCATCAGAAATGAAGGCACTAAAGAAGTTTCCAAGACACCATAAAAGAGGGGCAACTCAAGCCTGGAAAGTATCAGGGAAAGGAAAATTTACACAGAAAACAAAGGTGTAGCTAATAATTAAAACCAATCTGATTCCCTGAAAAATAAAATGAAAATAGAGCTAAGCCTTAAGGCAAAGAAAGAACTGCAGAGCCCACGTCTTCACCCAGCAACATCTGCCAATTTCACAGTGGCAGGGTTTGCCTATGATCATTTTGCCAAAACATCACTAGTTTTGGCACAACAGATAGCATGTTAACAGGAAGAAAACTGTTGGTTCATTCATTCATGAGAGCAATTTTGTACTTATCCCTATCACATTGCACAGGGTCAGTTAAAACCAACACAAATAATAAAGATAAAGAAGTAACCTATGAACCCAAACCACTGCACACTTCACCAACACAAGGTAACCATCCGCCAGCTTGGGCAACATTCTCCCAAACATTTTCTTTTTGTTTAACTTTTCTTAAGTTTCATTATGCAATATTTAGGATAGACGGAGGACAAAGAAGAGAGGAAGAGGAGGGGAAGGGGGAGAAGAAGAGAATATACAATGAAAATGCCAGAGCATCAGTGTAGAAATGCCAAATACCAAATAGAACAGAAATACAAAACTTCCTGTGTTCATTCTGTGGTATATGCATAGCCCCTCAACACATGCCATCACATTGTGCTTTACACATTTGCTTTCTGCCCTTACATACACTTAAGGAAAGCCATCACTATGACACACGTGCTGCATTTTCACCAACCTACAAAATTCAGAGGATACTGAACAATTTATTCAGCAGCAATGTAATCATGCTTCTTGAGTGGGGGGGATGTGCCTGGGCCAGGTATGCACAAGGCTGTTGTAAAGCCTCTCCCCATGCACACCCCACACCCTCCCAGACAGGGTTTCTCTCTGTAGTCCTGGCTGTTCTGGAACTCGCTCTGTAGACCAAGCTGACCTCAAACTCCAAGATCTGCCTGCCTCTGCCTCCCAAGTGCTGAGATTAAAGATATGTGCACCATCGCCGCCACCACCAGACCAGTATTTCATCCTCCTGTGCGCGCGCGCACGCACGCACACACACACACACACACACACACACACACACACACACACACACACAAGCTACTTGGTCATGTGATGTATACATCTTTCTTTACCAAGGTATTGTCAAACTGTCTTCTAAATTATGTAACAGTTCCTGATTTCACAACATTTGACTTGGTCTCACTTCAGATGTGGAAAGCAGGAAGGCATCTTACATATTTACATCCATGCTATTCTGTCAACCCAGCTTTATTTTCTGATTTAAATGGCTTTACTCACCAAAATCTTTGGCTCAAATACGCTAACAAAAGGCTGCAGTGAAACCTGGTTGGCTCTGAAGGGAGAGGCCAGCCACTGTCCCTTCTTTTCCAGAACACGACAGTCTAACAGGGAACCCAGTGTCTCGCCAGTGTGTTTTACTGTGACATAGGCAATCTAACATGTTAGCATGTTGTTGTCAGCACTTACCTTTTGCGTGCAGTTCACACTGTAACACTAGTCTATGAAGTCTGATGTCACGTGCATGTAATGTCAGAATACACTTCTCTGAGAGTAAATAAATTTAAAGCTGACGACACCTTCAGTTCAACAAATTCTTTCAAGTCAAAACAATTTCTTGTATGACCTTCACAACTGATACAGTCCCAAGGGGACAAAGCTGATGGAACCTGAAAAGCAGCAAGTGCTTCCACCACAGACAGGTGATTCTGCACAAGGGTACACAGGATGCTAGGGGAGAAGGCAAGGGCAGCTGGGAATGCTAAGGGCTGCTCCTACCATAACCCTACAGAGACAGGCATGTGGCACAGCAGTTTCCCCCTTCTGCCCTTCGTTTCTGTGGCACTGGGGCAAAGTTCCCATCTGAACAATGAGAAAGCAAACAAAATGGCGGCACAGGAAAGCTATCCATTTTACAAATGAAGAAGCAAGCAGGGAGGTCAGTTACGTATTCAGGGTCACAGTTAGCTTGAGTCCAATCTCTAATTCTTAATACTGTAATATTCATGTTATTGCCCCAATGTGGGTGTGACATGACTGTTAAAGGACATTTGAAGGAAAAGGACAGCCAGGGCCACTGCCAGAAAACAATTTAAGAAGACAAGAAGGAAGTGAATTTACACTTTAAGAAAAAAGCTACAATGGGTGCCCTGAGAGGTTCCTTTCAACAATACTCTCATTATCTTTGTCTTGAAAATACTCTTAGACATTTGCCCTTATAAGTTTCAATAACCTGCCTGTTGGCTTAGGAACACACGTTATTCATGAAACCAAATTTGTTAAGTAAAACACATACAATCAAAATTCTCTTTGGAATTATTTTCAGTTATAAACAACCAACTCAACCAGCTAACAGCAGCTGGCAGAGCCTCAGCGGGTGGCCCTGGGCATTCACCTACCTACTGCAGGGGCGTCATACTCATCACCAAGCAGGATCTCCGGAGCAGAGTAGGCAAGAGATCCACAGCTTGTAGTAAGCTTCTTTCCTGGCTGGAATTTGTTGCTGAAGCCAAAGTCTGTCAACTTCACAAGACCTTGTTTTTCAAAGAAGACTACATTCTCTGGTTTTAAGTCTCTATGAACCACATGGAGTTTATGGCAGTAAGATATAGCATGAACTATCTGAGCAAAATACTTCTTGGCCAAGTCTTCATTAAGACCCTCCTCGTGTTTCATTATGTAATCAAACATATCTCCTCCATCTCCCAATTCTAGAATGAGATACAGTTTGGTCTGGGTGTCTATGACTTCATAAAGACGGACAATGTTTGGGTGCTGCACTAGCTTCATGCATCTCACTTCCTGGAACAGATGGCCAGTAGCTAGGGTGTCTAGCTTCGTCTTGTCAATCACTTTCACTGCCACCTTTTCTCCTGTAAACACATGCCTGGCAAGCTTAACCACGGCAAAATGACCTCGACCCAAGGTTTTATCCAGATCATATAATCCAGCAATTTTTCCATCATATCCTCGCTTGAACCCTGCCATGCTGGTGCAACAAAGGGAAAAATACTTAAAGTGCTTGAAGTAGGTCTTCTCATACGAGCGTGTCTGCTGGGAATAAGGCCTTCATTATCATCATAGCAATGGATACCTGTAAAACAAGAGAGACAGTCAACACGTAGATTTTCTTTCTTTCCAATTATTTGTTTGTTTGTTTTATTTTGAGAGCCTTAAGTCAACTGAGATACAAAATGAATCATGGTCATTATTAAAAACCTATTTATATACTTAAGAGTTTACAATTCAAAATAGAAGTTGAGAAGTTAAGTACCACATTCCACAAACAAAAAGTAGCAGTTCATTGGAAGCATTGGGGTGGGGGTAGAGGGGCATCAGAAATAAGAAACTGGCAAGTTTGATAAGCTATGCTTAAATGATAAATATTACCCAGAGGTAAAATTCTATCAGTCTTTAAAAACATGGTGAGCATTCACAAGAAAGGGAAACATAGAATAAACACATAGTCAGAAATCCAGCAACCGTCTCCTGTCATCCAGAGACTAGCCATACTTGCAGAAGGTGCACAAAAGCCCCTTCGGCACAGCCTTCTCTTACCTTCTGTCCGTGCATCTCCAAGTGATACCATGTAATCTGTGAGTATCTAAAGGTTTCTGAAGACCATTTTCTCCATCTCCCCAAATCTAAATCAATACTTATGCAAAGAGGACAATCAAAACTATCTTATTACATTTGAAATGCAACTTATTTCCCAAAATGTTTACCAAGCAACTATCTGCTTCATGACAGCAGGGATTAGACAGTCCTTGGACAGAGCAGGTACTTAATTAAACTGCCATGGTTGCTCACTTTCTCAGAGTACATAGGCATGCACTCTTACAGACCATCTAAGTCTCAAAGAGTGTTTGGTTTTAGAAATCAATTTCATATCATGCTTAAAATTTTCAACCTTTCTAATACAAACCTCTAACATAGAAATATGTTCTTATAAACGACCTTGACTCAGGAAAAAACAAATATATAAAATTATACCAGTTAAAATATCACTTTAAATCCTATAAGCTGAACCACCACTTTAGAAATGAGTACCAGAAGCCAGTGAAGAGTGTGCTTACCTCCTAGACAAGTTGTGGCCTATTAATGTGCACAAATTACTTTGGTGAACATGTTCCCAGCTATGTGCTATAAAAGCAGACACACTATCTGTGCTGTTTAATGATAGCGGTGCACATAACCTCAAACTAAAACTTAGGCACACTAGGGAAGTAATGCATTAAAGCACTAGCATTACATTCCTTTACGTTTCACTGTTATTTCAAAGATCAGAAGAAAAGCCCATGCTTATTGAAATCCTACCACAGACATTCACAGAAGTGAGACTGTATTGTGTCACTGGTACCTGAGGTCAGATTGTTTCATTTTGAAGCCAAGGAAACTCTACAAACTAGTGACAGGTGGTATTAAAGCTAAAATCCAACATAACTCAGATTTCAAAGCCCGTATTGGAGATCAACCCCAAAGTCTAGCATTGGAAGGCACTCTGCCACTGAGCTACATCCTCAGCTTTCAAGGCCCACTCGATGAATCTGACAACTCCAGTCACATTACACTTGGGACACTGAGACAGTAAGCGTTTAAATCAATTATGAAAAAGACGCATGGAATCATTATCATATTATCACACTTCCAAAATTACCCAAATCACTTACTTAGGGCCACCTCAAAAATTTACAGACAATAAACTTAATAGGCCAACAATAACATGATCACTAGCATGTTCCATATTTTAGAAGTCACTGTCACCACACTCAGCACTGCCGTTCTGAATGAGCACTGCACAACAGCCACATACCAAGCTTTACATGATCCTTTCCCAGATTCACAACTGCTTAGAGACAGGGATGACTCACCCTATTTTGAGGCACACACACACACACACAAAAAGAAGTAAGTTGGCCTAGGCTGCAGGGCTAGGATAAGGAGGAGTTGGATTCAACAGGGCATCTGACACCTGTCACTGTTTTAAAACAACCTGCTGTGCTGTTTCTCTGTAAACTGACAGAACAAAACTGAATTAGTCCTGTTTCTACTAAGATTTTTACTGAATAAGCTAGTATAGGAGCATGAGAGATGGCTCAGCAGTTAAGAATGCTTACTGCTCTTGCAGCAGACCTGAGTTTGGTTCCCAAAACCAGTGTTAACTCCAGTTCCAGGGGATCTGACACCCTATTCTGGACTTCATGGGCACCTATACTCAGGAGCACACACACACACACACACACACACAGAGAGACTGACTCACAGACAGACAGACACATACAAAATAAAATAAAATATTTATTTATATATATTATATATAAGAGTGCTCTGTCTGCATGTCATAAGAGGGCACTGGATCCCACTATAGACGGCTATGAGCCATCATGTGGGTGCTGGGAATTGAACTCAGGACCTCAGTGCTCTTAACTGCTGAGCCATCTCTACAGCCCATAAAATCTTAAAAAACAAACAAACAAACAAACAAAAACCTAGTAAGAAAGATGTTAGAAAAAGAGCCAATTTCTTCTGTACTCTTTATTAACCTTGTTCATCTGAACTAATAATTTCAATGACCAGAATAAATAGAGAAATCTAAATTGAAGTGTTTCTGCATTTGGACAGCAGTTCCCCCAAAGAAGCTTCAATTCATAAATATTTGGCCAAAGACTCTGTTTAACTTCAATTAACTCTGCGGGTTCAGCTGTTCCTACCTGTCTAAGTGTACGTTGCATATTTTTGCAAATTCAACTTTCACCTTCAAACAGGCTTCTTGGGCTGTCTGCCCCATTTTTTTCATCTTTATTCTTTTCCTCTATTATCTTTGCTTAGATGTATTCCTGAAAAGTGGCAAATAGATCAGATTAGATAAATGAATCTGAGGATTTTTAAAGTTAACCTAGGGTTGAGGAAAAGGCCCAGTGGGTAAAGCGCTTGCACACAGCAGAAGGATCTGAGTTCAATCTCCAGCATCCACATAGAAGCTGGACACAGTGGCTCACAATGTCACCTCAGCATGTCAAGGCTGGAGAGTAGGTGGGCAGACAGGTGGATCCCTGAGCTCATGCTCACTGGCTAGCCAGCCAGCCTAGCCAAATCAATGAGCTTTAGGTTCAGTGAGAGTCTGTCTCAAAAAATAAGGTGGAGAGGGCCAGTGAGGTGGCTTAGAGGGTAAAGGTCTTTGCTTGACAACCTGAGCTCTATCTTTAGAACTCACATGATAAAAATAAAGAATAGACTCCCAGAACTTGTCCTCTGACCTTCAAAAGAGACAGCTGTGGAATGTCTGTGCGTGCGTGTATTGGCGCGCGCGCACACATACACACACACAGAGTAAATAAATAAATAAATGTTTAAATTTGGGGGGATCAGCTGAATAATGATCAAGGAAGACACTAATGATGACCTCTGGCCTTCACACATGCATACAGCAAACATGTACATACATACACACAACTTAGAAATTGTTGATCTCTGAGGATCTCAGTGCCTCTGTCACGCCAGGCACCGCACTAGTGTTGAGAGGTAGCTGTGAGAGGTGTAGGTGAGTCTGTGCCGGCTCCAGGCCATACCTTGCAAACCGCATGCCAAATTACTCTGTTACTACTACTTGTTAGTTGCTTCTTTCTCCTAAAGAAAAATACAGAAAATGATTTTAGTGTATTCTATTTGTTTCAATTTTGCTTAAAGTAAAACTATATATTCTAGGGCAGGACAAACCAGAAAACAGCAAATCTGTCCTCAGTGACCCAGTCTCCTCCTATTCTCTTTCTCCCCTCTATTCATTTCCCCTTTCCCCTCCACTCCTAGAGGCTGAAGCTCATGTTAGGCAAGTTCTCTGTCACTAAGTCCCAATCCCCAGCCTGCAGCCTTCCAGGCCCGCCCTGGCGCCCCATCCCTCGCCCTAGACCCAGCCCCAGTCCCAGCCCAAGCCCCCAGCCCCAGGCCTGGCCCTAGTCCCCCAGCCTCAGTCCTAGCTTGAATCACAGCTTTAAGGAAATCGTGGCAAAGAACACTAGCCGTTTTCTAAAGACCTCCGGGGTAAAAGGTCCTGAACCTGTATCTGTTGAATCCTGACTATGCACCTGGTAAGGTAGGCACAACAAAGCTCAACTTATCTGAGCGATCTCTGCCTAGGATCCTGCTTAGCCTGCCTATAAAGTCTATCTCACCTCCAGCAGCCCCTAGACAAGCTCACCAAGCTCCTACTATAGCAGCTGAGGAGAGGAACCTGCATAAAACACTCTTCTAAGCAAGGCAGAAATGCATTATGATGCCACCAACAGGCAGCACACAAAACATCTTCATGTCGACTACCAGACATAAACAAAACTATCACTACAAGCAAAGTAGCTGCACTGTTCCCAGTCCTAGCACAGTAAGGGGTCCTTTCCAAGGTGGGCTTATGTGTTTTCACAAACCTGAAACACCACACAAATAAGTGAAAAGCCTGAATGTTCCTGGTAGGCCAACACAACTCACACTCCACGCTAAAGGTACTGAGTGTCTGGGCAATCAGTAAGCCCACATGTGGTGATATTTTACTTGTGCACCCCAATAAAGCTTATCTGGGGATCAGAGGGAAAAGCCAGCCACTATATTAAACATAGAAGTCAGGCAGTGGTAGCAATGCCTTTAATCCTAGCATTCAGGAGGCAGAGATCCACCCAGATCTCTGTGATTTCAAGGCCACACTGGGAACAGAGCCAGGCAGTAGTGTCACACGCCTTTAATTCCAGTGCTAGTTAACCATAGAGGTCTGGAGATCTGTACAGATAGACCTGCCTGCCTGCCCCTTGAGCCCCAAGTAGGACATGAAAGCTCCTCCCACTACCCCTGCCTGCTTCTCTCTCCAACAGCCATTCAGTTTTTGTGGCAAGGCAGCATCGTGGTTAGTGGTTAAGCACTGGTTCTGAAAACTATCCGATATGAATCCAGACCACCAATCACAAGCCACAGGCTCTCAGCAAGTTACCTGGCCTTTCTGTACAGTTAATTTCCTCACTAGACAATGTCAGTAACAAGAACACAGCCCTGTCTGTAAGCCCAACACCTCAGAAGGCAGAGGAAGAAGGATTGAGAGTCTGAAGGCCAGCATGGTTTGTATAAAATACCACCATGTTTCATCCCCAAATCAAACTAAATCAAACACACAAACTTTAAAGGCTGTGAAGGGAGCTGGAGAGATGGCTCAGCAGTTAAGCGCTCTTACTGCTCCTGCAGAGGACCTAAGCTCAGTTCCCAACAACTCATGTCAAATGGCTCACAACCACCTGTAACTCCAAAACCATCTGAAACTCAAGCTCTCTGTGGCACCTGCACTCACATGCACACAATTAAAGGCAATAAAAATAAGCTTTTAAGGGCTGTTCAGATCAAATAAGTTATACAATTACACTGTTTAGCATGCTGAGCTGCAGTATTCCTGCTGTTCCCTTCTAGTGTTCATCTACTACAAGAGAAGAGCTCACTGAACTAGCGCTCCTCTCTTGCTTTCCTAACACATCAAACTGGAAAACCAGTGCTGTAAAAATCTTGAGATACAGAAAATAACAATGCTAACTAAACACTAAAATCTGATTTTCAATAAAATGTCTTAAAAAAAAAACCTAAGTATTTGCTTCTCCCATCCCATTATTTGATTTAGTATCATTATGTAGCCCAGGCTGGCCTCCACTCAAGATCCTCCTGCCTCAGCCTCTCACATGCCAAGATTATAGGGCTGCATCATCATGCCATCTTAAAGTAATAGACTCTTCTAGCAAAGCTGGAAAGTACAGAATGGAAAGCTTTAACTTCAAGAGTAAAAGAGGGGGGACTGGAGAGATGGCTTAGTGGTTAAGAGCACTAGCTGCTCTTCCAGAGGACCCAGGTTCAATTCCCAGCACCCACATGGCAGCTCACAACTGTCTGTAACTCCAGTTCCAGGGTATCCAACACCCTCATATGGACATACATGCAGACAAAAACACAATGCACATGAAATTACAATACTTTTTAAAAAGAGTAAAAAGGGGCTGCAGTATCAGCAGTAACATCAGCACTGTTAGCTATGGCACTCTCACATTTATACAGCTCCCATTCACTGTGGTCTAGAGCACTCACCTTTGTTCTAGTATTGTAATTTCAATTATGAAAAAAAAATATCTGTTTAGGTTTCAGAAAAATTCAATTATAATATATAGGTTGGCAAAAAGAGTGGGGAATATACTAAGAAAAAAATCATCTGCATCTCTTCTCTGGTAATAAATCAGACAGGACAGCTTTGCAGCTGTTCTCTAGGTACATAGCCAGATACAATTTTTAAAATACACTAGCAGAAATACACAAGGCAACAGAGAAAGACTGTCATGGATAGAGAGGGGGCTTTTTAACTATTTAAATATTTCTCTCCCAAAAACAAACTGAATAAACTAATAGTTTACTTTATCAAATTTGGAAAATGCAAAACTGCAAAAGGAAAAACTCACCTGCAATCTATCTTGGAGGATGACACCAAACTGAGACACTCTTACAAAGCCAATACCTTAAATGCAATCCTGTCTTTGTAGAATATAAATAAACTTTTTCTCGTGCTAAGCTCTTCAAAATCAGTATCTTTAACAACTCCATAATTGAGCCAACATCTTTCTGAAGAGAAAGCATCACTGAAACCAGTCCCTTTAAAGCAGCCTTGTTGCAAGGCACATGCTCACACATGTACACACCTAGGCTAGACCTAAATGAAGCAGGCTAAGTCAAGAGTGTTTGGAATATGGAAACTCCCGTTTGAGAAACAAGTGCTGGTAGGTGTTACAAGAATGTACTGATGCTCTCCCAGCTCAAGCAAGCAGAAATGAGCATAGAGCATAGAGGTGTGGCTGGAGAGGAGGAAGGAAGTGTGGGTGGCCCTACACACACTTTGCAAGCTGCTGAAACAGTTGTAGAAGCAGCCTCTGCTAAACTGACTGCCAGTTTGGAAGCCACGATTACTCTCACTGAAGCGCTGAACTTTTTGTTGACATCACCACTGCAGCAGTGAGGTCTTTGGGTCAAACAGACCTCCTCCAACTCTTCTCCCCTAGGAGAGGTGATCAAAGACGGCACTGCACACAACTGAACAAACTCACAGCTTGCTGAGAATCAAACAAAATAGGCCATGTGCAAAAATCAGGCTACCCCTAAGTCTCTCAACATTTTGTTTAGAATATAACATTCCCTCAAATGAGACAATCAATATTCTAGATTCTACACAAAATCTCTCACAAGTATTAACTACCAGAAAAAACTCAAACTAGGCCAGTAGTTCTTCACATTATACAGACAACCAAAAGATCTGTTTTTGCAAAGCTGAACTGACATTGAATTTAACCTTCTTTCCCATAGAAACAAGCTGGTATTTTCTTTTCACAAATATCAAAAAATAAAAATTACAATCCTTACTCATGGGATCAACCAGACTGAAACATACACCTATAAAGAGCCAACTGAAGTCATGGTACAGATAACACTCAGTGAATATTACCAAGGTGATCTGCCTTTTTGCTAAAACTTTATCAACAAAAAGTGATACAGTGGTTGAGAGGAAGACTATAATGAAATCCTTCAGTAATATCAGGAACCTCAGATCAAGCACAGTGAGCACAGCCCTATCATATATTCTCTACGGTTCTTTTTAACCAAAGCAAGCAATACTACAGTTTTCTAAGAGTGTGCTCCCTCCTCCCGGGAATGACAATACAAGCTATAAATCAAAGACCAAAACCCACAATAGGTCAATGGGCCCTAAGTCATGGAAGAACTAGAGTGCTGGACTGGGGGTGGAGGGTGCTGAAATTACTATGGGGTTACAACAGCTTCAGTCTGCACTCACTGGATGGAATCTCTGTGGCATTGTAATTAAGAGTTAAGCCAATAAATCCTATTAGAAATGTCCTAACAGGCAAAGTTATACCTCCAAATCTAAGGACTTTGCAAAGTAAGGTAATGCCTAAGTATGCTCCAAGTTTTCTTGTTTGTTTTAATTAAAATACAATTACAATATTTCTCCCTTTCCCTTTCCTCCCCCCAACCCTTCCCAAGACTCCCTTTACTCCCTCTCAAATTCATGGCTCTTATTTTTTGTTACTGATACATACATTTTATACACACACACACACACACCCTACTAGGTTCATTAAATGTTATGTTACTTGTATGTTATGATTTCTGGGCTGACCACTTGGTAATGGACAACCAATTAGGGTCCCTGAGAAGATGAATTCTTCCGCTCATTCTCTCAGCATCCCTTAGTTGACTATAGTTCTTTGCCGAGGGGTGGGGCCCCATGAGATTTCAGAGACCATGACAGGAAACCACAAATGATCAAATTGCAGAGAAAACAACTGATCTTGAGGTGCCCAGCTCCAATGGATACATCTACAGCACAACTCTTGCACAAGGCTCATGGAACATCATGGAAGAGAGGACAGAAAGCCTGTTAAGAAGACCAGAAAATCTACTCTGTGATCATGTCCCCCAGAAATGACAGGGAAGCTCTACTCTGACACCTCAACAATATGGCTGCTAAACAAGACCTGAACAAGAATGACATCAATAGACTTTGTATCATGTTCTAAATTTCCTTTTCAGTAGGCAACTGTAATGGACTC